TTTTTTTTTGGTTTTTCTCCGGTACCGGAACCGAACTCACGACCTTGCGCTTGCCAGGCAGGCGCTTTGCCGCTGAGCTAAATCCCCAGCCCCCCAGCTCAACATTTTAAAAAAGGGCTGAGGTTATACCTCAGTGCAAAGGTGGCCCTGGGTTCATAATCATAAACAGATATATATTCATGCCCTAAATATAAAACGGGGAAGCCTTATCTGACACACTCTCTACCTCAGTATGGTTTTCTTCGTATCTTCAAAGCAGTGTCTCTGTGGTCCCTTTTGAATATGGAGTTTGAAATGTTATAGCTGAGCTCTGAGGGAGACGGCAGAGCTTCACTGTTCCCCATGAGACGCAGAACTTGTTCGTCCGGGAGAGGATACGAGCTTGAGAAAGGTTAGACCTAAGAAGTCTTTTTCCTAGCTGTAACTGCTGAGCCTGTGGAAAACAAACGAACAAACAAAGCACCTCGGACACTAGGACCCAGAGGCGGTGCCCGCTGAGGTCGGCGCTGGGCACCTCCTCCGGCGGCGTCAGAGCGGCGGCTCCCTCTTCCCCGCAGGCCCCGCCCCGCGGGCTCCGGCTCCCTTTCCCTCCCTCCGCCCTCCCTCCTTCCCTCCCTCTCCCCCTCTCTTCTCCCTCTCCCTCTCCCGTCCTCTTCCCCTCCCTGTCCTCCCTCTCCTCTCTCAGCTCCCTGACATTAAAGAGAAAATGCTGCTCTCAGTGACGTCCAGGCCTGGGATTTCGACTTTGGGCTATAACAAGAACAACAAGAAGGTAGAGTCGCGCCGTTCTGGCCGCCCGCTGCTTCCTTTCCGGGGTCCGGGAGCGCCCTCGGTCCGCGCGGTCCCTTAGGAGGGGACGGGACTCCTCCTGCGCGCTCGGTCTCCGCGCCTCGCCCTGCTCAGCACTTCTCCGGTGCTTGTTCCCGCCGGCTCTGCAGTTAAGGAACTTCAGTCTCTCCGCGAGGCCGAGGAGGCGGGGGCTTGCGAGCGAGTCAGACTTTGCATCGCCGTCCTCGGCGAGGAAGCTGGCCGGGTCCCTGCTGGCGGACCGATCCCCTGGGGAGAAGACCCTCGCAGACCCCTCTCCCCCGGGCACCCCGCGAGGACTGTTCCGTCTTTCTCAGCAGCTGCCTGCCGGCCCCCTCTGCCTGCCTCCTTGCTCCGCGGGTTAGCTGAGAGCGCAGGTAGCCGGGGACAGCGCGCGGCTCCTCCCGACCTGGGCGCGCAGCGCCTGGAGAAGGAGCCTTGGGGAGGCCGTGCCTTGGGGTGAAGTTAGGAGAAGGCTCTGTGGTTCTGTGGGTCTCGCTTCTGAGCTGATCCTCCGAGTTCCGCAGACGGCCAGGCGTAGCAGGGACCCTTGGAGTCTCTGCGTTTAACCCACGCTGCCGGAGTTGTGCTGTGGTTGGGTAGAGGGGCTGCTAGGGAGAGGGGGACAGTCCCGTCCGCGTTTGCCAGGGGTCATCTTGGGAAGGTCTTCGGCATTTCAGGACAGACAGTCCTGATTCAGAGGAACTTCGCACTGTAGCATGAGGGCTCCATTCGCTCTCTGGGTGTTATAGTTGTTCTTTGAAGAAAAACATGTTGTAGATATTTAGGGATTTTTGTTTTTTTTTTTTGCTTCTGTAATGGAAAGTTAGAGGGTAGGGTAAGATTCCTCCCACTTTCCCATGTAGGGAGGGAGGCCAGTACAGGTAGATCTAGGTACAAGCATCTGACCAGGGCAGTGGGTGAACGTTTACAGACGCAAAACACGAGTGTTAGTTCATGGGTGTTAGCTTGTGTGCTATTCATTCTATGCCCTTAAGAACGAAATATTCCTATACATTTGTTGGTTATTAATATGTGCATGTATGTACTTGTTCGGATATCCTCTATCAAATATAATGTGTATATGATTATATATTATACATGTATATTTGAAAGGGGACATTTGATCTGTGTTTATTCTCTTCAGATCTAGGTAGTACTGTACTCTATAGGTTCTCTTCCTTATTGTTTCCCTCCAGCTTGCTTTCTTTTTTTTTTGACTTTTTGAGACAGGGTCTCGCTCAGCAGTTCTGAGCTCACTCTGTAGCCCAGGCTGGTCTCAAACTCGCAGTGATCCTCCTGCCTCAGCCTCCGGAGTGCTGGGATTACGTGTGTGCACCACCACGCCTGGCTGGGTTCTTGATTCTTAAATTATGCTTCTTCCTAAGAAATTTTATGTATTCTTTTCATGAAGTATATGGTTTCTAAATATATATTATATAATCTTTTTCCCAGCTCAGAGACAACTTGAAGCAGACATCCCAACTCTGCGAACCTCAGTTTGGACATAAATTCCAGGCTTGGTGAGTTTTTATACTCCTTTCAGCTTTATGGATCTTGAAGACTAGGAAACAGTAGGATAAAGAGTTAAATAACATAGCTGCCAACTTTGAAAGGCATTGCGGGCCCTGAGGCTCCTCGGGCAGGTGAGCCTACAGGTGAGTCTCAGCATAAACTCCTTCCTCAGAGCATCTGGAGTAGGAATGGCAGCTGTCAGTCAGTGTGCCCCAGGAGAAGCAGCTGTCTAAGGAGCTGAGATTAGTTATCTCCTATACTGTTATTTTCTCTGTTCTTGGGTGTGACCCTCTGTTCCCTTTTAGTTCATTAAGATCACCTAATAAACCAGCGTGGTAGTTTATACCTGCAACCCTAATACTCAGGGAGGCTGAGACAGGAGGCTCCCAAGTTCAAGCCCAGCCTGGATAACTTAGTGAGTTCCTGTCTTAACATTTTATTTTATTCTATGTTTTTTTTTTTTTTCTGTCTTTTTGAGACGAGGCCTCACTATGCACCTCAGGCTGGCCTTGAGCTCACTTGGTAGCCCATGCTGATCTTAAACTCCCAGTGATTCTCCTGCCTCAGCCTCCCAAGTGCTGGGATTACAGGCCTGCGCCACCACACCCAGCTCAACATTTTAGACACAGTGTTTTTTTTTTTTTTTTGGTTTTTCTCCGGTACCGGCACCCAACTCAC